ACACACACACACACACTCAAACACACACACACACACTCACACACAAGCACAAGCACGCACGCACGACGCACGCACAAACACACACCCATTCATACACACATGTGCGTTCACGTGGGCTCGCACATACGTTATACACGCGAGAAAATAACGCATGAGCCAGGGGTACTTGTTTATACCGGAACCTCCCGAAAACAACCAAAACCTCCCAAAACCATCCGAAACCACGCAAAACCTCTCGAAACCACCCGAAACCTCCTCAAAATTTCTATAATATGGTGTTATTTTGCTATACTATCTATCGCTCTGTGGATAATATATTGAACTGTAATACATACAATATTCTCGTATTTGGATGTTTCTTTTCTTTTACAGCACTTGCAACACGACAAGGTCAAATAAGTGCCGAAGAAGATTAGAGGTGTTACAAGAGAGCAACAAACACAAAAAAGAAGGAGGGAAGATACGGACGATAGATGTTTGATAGAAAAGGAGGAGCAAACCACACCAGAGTACCTGCCAACCACCCACTTGGATACTTCTTGATTCTGAATACATTATTTAAACTAAAAAACAACACAGTAGCATTATAAGAGACATCATTTCACTTGGTTTGACCTATTCGTTTTTATTTTAAACATTTTTAATTCGGCATGTACATAGGAAAAGTACATTATCTAAAAATTGTCTTGGGGGAATTTTTGGTATATGCTTTAGTTTTCATTCTACGGCACTTAAAAAATCGACTTATTGCATAAGGGGAAAATCACTTTCTGACGCCTTTAATCAAAAGCTACATGAGCAATCAAAAATTCCTCACGACAGTTCCTAGAACTAGGTGTCGTTATATTAAAATCGAAGGACATACAGCAAGAAAATAGGATAAAGTGTGTGAAAATAGCATTGTAAGAAAACGACCGATAAAGGCAAGAAAAAGCCTAAATAGTTCTCTTTCCAATTAGAAACCGTAAAAACATATTTTAAACTCGAACATGACAACCTCTTGATAATATTAACACAGTAGAAATAGAATTAATGTTTTCTACTAAACCGAAACAGTATAAGCTGTGTAAAACATGCCTTTTGAGAAAAAAGTAGTGATTATTTTCTTTTAAAAGTTCTCTACCCTCTGTTCTAAAATCCCTTCAAACACCACCTTAGGGTATAGAAACGCTATACGTTTCCGGACATTTATTGTCAAGGAAATATCCAGGAAATATATTATATAATAAGTGATAACCCAAGTTTTAATAATTTCACCCAAAAACATTTTAGGGGTCACTTCATGGTCACTTCTCCCTAGAAGAATACTTCACAACATGCACAAGATAACAGAAATTAAATACCGCCTCATTACATTATGTGAAAAATCTGTATTTGAATACTACTATAACAGTAATTAAAATTCTAAGAAGTGCAGGCTATTAATTGCAACCTGAGCAGTCACTCATCACTTAAAACCAAATAAAGAAAGAAGTTGAACAAAGATTTCACAAACCATCATTTTCTCTTATAGA